CCAAAACAGCTCCCCCCCCCCCCACTCCCTCCTTATCTAGATATTTGCAGAGTAAAGAGGTATGCTCATGCAAAGTGGAATGTTTAAACAGTTACTCCTTTTGCCTTGTAAACCCTTTATGGCTGTCTTACACTCTCAAAGAAGGAAAAAACCCGTCTTCCCAGCAAGTCTGACCTGTGTAATGCCTGGTCTGATGTCCTTTTACTCCTGCTCTTGCACGAGTGATGCTACAAAAGGTTTATCTTGTCTGCGTCTGGAAGGTGACCCAGAACCTAAATCCTTTGTCATCTTTTTTTATTGATTTGGGGTTTGTAATTATACTTGCAGCAAATGGAATTGAGGAGAAATTCCTAAAAACTCTTTCCTTCCACCTTCTCCACCCATTTGGTATTTCGTTTGCAGGAGGGAGGTTTTGGGAGTGAATTTGTAACCTTTATTTTGCCACCAGTCACTGGAGTGCTTTTTCAGATCTTCAGAATAGGGAGTGTGAGATGCTGGTGAATCTGTCTCTTTCAGCAAAACATAAGCTCTGATTAAAAAGCTTCTTAATTTGTCACAAGAAGTCCCAGAATGTGCTCACACCATACACTCTCCTGTCCAAAAAGCTGAATTTAAGCTGTCAATTGAGGAATAAATAAAAAAAAGAAGTTACTAAATAGTCAGTTGCCACATCTTGCAAATTCTGTGGTGGTTTGCAGTACGAACTGTGGATACGGAGGGTGCAGGAGAATGAATTAAGGGAAACTGAGGATGTGTAGCAGAAGTTTTAGCTCTAGATATGTATTGCTAGATACTGTTTTTTCAAAAAATACCAACAGAGATCACTATTACTTTGCCCTACCATGCAATAAGCTCCTACAGTAGCCTACAAAGCAGAAGATAAAGCATTCTGGATTTGCTGATAGGTTGACAAGGACTGATGATATCAGAGCAGATTTCCTGACTTGCATGTGATTTAGCCTACTATCAGATAGTCTGGAGGAGGGGACAAACAACCCTATTAATACATTTGTAGATTTTCTGTTGCCTAGAGGGTGCCAGACAGTTGCTTTGTGTGCCCATTCAGTATAATTCCAGGTGTATTTAATTGCCCTAGTGGGATGAAAAAAATCTGTCATCTTGCCATTAAAAATATTTCACCTAGTGGAAAAATGATATTAAGTAATGGGGAAACTTGGGCTTATTTTAAGAGGGTTTTAGCTAATTTCTTTTAACTATGTACTTTCATTTTCTTGAGTTTAATGTTCCTACAGAAGAAACGGGCACTAGCTTTATTACAGCTTTAGGCTGTTTCACTCTGAAAACTGCAGGACAGGCTAACTGGTATTTTAGCAGACCACCGAGGAACTCCAGAATACACACTTACATCAAATGTAAAGCCCTTATTTCATTTTCTCCTAATTGCAAACTTGGCAACTGAGCCTGCAATCTGAATCTTAATCTGAATGCCTACTACTTCTTGGTCACCAAGAGGAAAATAACATAATGACAACTTGGTTAGCCTTTCTGTTGACTGGGGAGCTGGCATAAAATCAACTGATGGCTTCTAATCTCGTTGTGGTGAGCTAGGAGGTGTATGTAGCAGTGGAAAACCAGTCTGATTTCTCCACAATTCCTTTCAAGGTAAAGCACAATTTAAATCTAATGCCTAACAGTCAAACAGGCCCACAGAGTGCAAGCAGTTTGATATTACTGCTAGGGCCTGGTCATAGCAGAGTTTAGGATTTCAAGAAGCATTGTAAAAATTCCCATTTGTAACCTTAGCAGTGGTTTTCGTAACAAGTCTGTGATGTGTTGGTGAATGCAGGCTTCTTTAAAAGCTTTTTTTTTTTACTTGCTAAGACTTAGAACTTATCGTCTTTCTGATAATGGAAATGTGCTGCTTTACTTGTGGCTGAAGAATGCCTATCTCTAATATTTATATTGCTCTCAGTTCCTTAAAAGATGTGTCCAAGAGGCTAAATACTTCTTTGAAGAGTTGAGTGAGCCAAGCTAATGAAGGTCAAGTGCTATCAAGGTGAGAAGAGAAGGCAAAAGAAGTAGTTTGTAAGTCAGCTGCTCTGAGCTTCTGTCACTTCTTGCCATTTTGGCCAGACGACATTGTAAAGGAAGTACAGGGTAGATTAAGATGATATTTATACCTTTGTTAGTGAGCATAATTATCTCCCAAAGTCTAGAAGGCCTGTTGAGCTGGTAGAGTTAAGGTACACCAGCTTCCATAGGCAGCAAATGGGAGTGGGAGAGTTGTGCCTGGCATTCATTTTCAGCCAAAATGAGAGCTGCATTGGCTGTGGATGGTGTTTGATGAGCCCAGAGCTGTGACAAATCTATGCTTCTGTCTCTGTCCTGCTTATGTGATGTTAATCGGTCGCAGATTTAGGTTGAATATTAGGAAGAAGATCTTCACCATGAGGGTGGTAGATCAGTGGCACAGGTTGCCCAGAGAGGTGGTGGAGGCCCCATCCCTGGAGATATTCAAGGTCAGGCTTGATAGGGCTGTGAGCAACCTGATCTGGTACCAGTGTCCCTGCTGACTGCAGGGGTTGGACTGGATGAGCTTTAAAGGTCCCTTCCAACCTAACACATGCTGTGATTCTATGATCTGACTCCAACAAGCAGATAAGTGGGCTGAGAGCTGAGAGACCTGGGATCCTGTCCACTTCTACAGTGATTTATGGGCTGAATTGTAAAGGTCTCCTACCACACCCCAGTTTCAGTGGTTGGATACAAAGGGGAAGGGAATGAGCAGTGTCTGGGGTAAAAGGGTTGAATTAAACAGGGTGAGGACTTTGAATACTTGTCCTGTGACTCAGTACCTTCCCACCAGTGAACCTCCCTTGGCCTGTGTTGCCATACTGCCCTGAAGCACTGCACCAGCTGAGGTCAGAACTCTGCCTCCCTGCAGGCTGTACAAATAGCTGAAAAGCCAGTCCCTACACCTAAGGAGCATCTGTTCTGAGACGGCAAATAATGCATGAGAAAGAAGGTGAAAGGGAGAAGCAATCATCTGTGTAAGGAGTTCTTGCATGCCACATTTCCACTATTTCTGCTGGCTGTGTTCGTAAACTGGCTGAGCAATGAGGGGTTGGCTCATACCTGAGAAATATATTTACTTGAGGACAGAGGGAAGCTGCTGCTGTGTTCCTGCTCCAACTGAGAAGACCTGCAGCATATGAAATGTGCGTATTTTACCTCTTAGAGGAGCACAGAGTTATAAGCAAGAGGGAGGGCCAAGTTTTAAGTGACCCAATGCTATGGACTGTTGAATCTTGGCATTAAAAGTGCCAATGGTGACCTCAACTCCTGGCAGCCTCAACTGTGCGTAGCTGATTGGAGAAAGAGAAGTTGTTTACACACCTAGGAGTGACTGACTGCTGAGAGTACTTTTCAAAAAGCAGCTTAGGTATTTAAATTCTAATATAGTTGATGCATTCAAATAAGCCTTTTTATTTCTGGGTATACAAGAATGAAGAAGTCAAGTGCTGGGTGAGAATGGCCTTAGAGTGGTGGTTGGGACTGGCTCAGTGTCCTTTCATTGCTGTTGTCTGTGCTTGACAGTCAAATCTGCAACCTGTAATAAAAGGACTGTCATAATAGCTACTTCATTGCATGAAAAGTTCTTTCTCCTAAACTCCTGAGCAATATAAAACTGGTGTGAAGGTCCTTGGGTTGGAGTAGATCACCTTTAAAGGTCCATTCCAGCCCAGACCATTTTATGACTCTATGGTTGTCCATCAGGCCTGTAGAAGATGGCACCATCTCACAGCAATGTGGACTGTGTTTAGCCTTAAAATCTCTGAGTAACTTGATTTGTTTTGATTTCTCCCTTGAGCTCTTTTATTATCTTCTTTACTGAAGGAAGCAACATAAATAGAGAAGGCAAATGAAGCCTGACTTGATTTTTTTTAAATTATTCTCTAAATCTATGTAGTAATTTTCCTGGTCTCCAGGTTAGTCTCCAGGCCATGTATAAGTTTGTCTATTGTGTTATGTGTATAATGAGGAAAGAAAACAACCTCTCAAATTGCACACAGCAACTCTTTATTCTGTTAAAGTATAATTAAGGAAAGCAGGGTGACCCTGAAGCCTAAAATAAAATTAAAAACTTGCTTCACAGTATTTAAAATGTCTGCAGTTCATGTGATGGATACCTGTAGATTAATAAACTGCACATATTTTGTTGTTTCATCCATGTGATGCTGTCTTCCTTTGTAACTCACTGTATTCATAGAAGGATTTTTGTGTAAGCTATGGAAAAAATAATTAAGTAAGGAGAGAAACAGCTCAGAAGGTGGAAATAGCATGTTGAGACAGCTTTAAAACACACAAACAAAACACAACCCCATTCCCCAAACCCAAAAAACACTGACTTTTATTCTGTTCACACAGGTAAGTAGATCATGTGTGTGTATCTCATCTATTCATTTTTTTCTCCTCCTCAGGCATTTACCAGAAAAAGTCAAAGACGATGTTCAGCTAAAGAATATGAGCGGGCAGTGGTTTTATGAAGCAAAGTCAAAGAGGCACAGAGATAAGATACACGGAGCAGATATCATTAGAGCTTCTATGCGCCGGAAGCCCGCCACTCTTGGTAAGCATTTGGTTTATATTTTATTTTGGAAAGACTGGCTCTTACTTAGCTGACCTCAGACACTATTGATATCTCTACAAGCAGAAAATTATGCAAAAAAGAGATTTCCCATGTGGTTTACAGTGTAAGCTTTCCTCTCTCCCAGTGCTATGTATTATGCAGAGAATTCTGTATGATGGCTGCTCACAGTTGAGGCTGGCTTCTTTCTGTAAGACTAAAAATCCTCTGCAGTCCTGGACTGCATTTGCATTTCTATTTTTGAGGCCCTTTGAGCTACCCTGGAACATGCAAAGAATCAGAGACCGAGGAAAGTGCTTGTCAGTATGGATTTGCAAGTTTTTTGGGTGCTCAGTTTGAGCTTAATGGTAGGCACCATAAGCTAGAGCTAGAGGCTATAACTACTGAAATATGTGCTGGGAGCTCTGGCTAACATCCTCTGTCCACATTAATTTTAGATGCACCCACCATACCTCACATCATGGTGAGCACCCTCAAATGTTAAAGCCAACTATGTCCATGTGCCAGATAACAGTTGCAGACATTAATTTAGTAGTACAGATAGATAGTATTTTTGATTGTGTTTAAACTGAGTAATGTTGACAAGCTTGATTCTCACTTGATAATAAATATTTTATTCTGAAGCTTTTCTTTTAAAAAAAAGCCAGAATGTGGGAAGATAATGCATTGTGTTTAACATCAGAAGTAAATACAGTCTTTTATTTAGAAAGAAGCAAAACAAAGCAGAACATAAGCACTGCTTTATTGGACCAGCCCACAAGCCACCTCCCCAGCACCCTGCCTCTGAGGGTGCCTGGCAGCATGTGTGGACTCCAAGGCCAGGACCAGTCTGCAGCCAATTGCACCTCAGACCTTTTTGAAATAGAGGAAGTATTTCTGGATTACTTTTCCCCATTAATTTGTTCAAGAACTTCTCTAAAGCCATGCCTCTTTGACATTCAGTGTGTCTTGTCCTGAGGCATTTTAAAATGAAAGTTTTCCACATAAGAAGTGACTGTTTCAATTCCTAATTTTGAACTGGTCACAGTTAACTTTATCCCTGCGAGAGAAAGTGAACAGTCAATCTATATTCACAAAAACGTATACAACGTGGTATACAGGATATTATAGACTTCTATTTTAAATCTATCAGACTATCCTTTTGACTTAGAAGGGTAAGACTTATCAGTACGACCTGAGGAAAATAATATTTGTAATCTTTATTTTTTTAAGTTCTATTAAGTGATTTTTCCGTGTGCTAGTGAAGCAAGTAAGGCACTTCTCTCAATGCTGGGGATGGACTACAGCTTGCTACTTTATAACTACAATTTAGCCTTCTTTTCTTGTGTCTAATCCTGCAGTGTTACACCTTCTCAATTCCTATATTCCCAGAGATGAGTTTGGATAATGGCAGTTTAGTCAGTTTGAGGTTACTGTGTGATGGTTTGGGGTTTAAGTTAACAAGAAAAGGCCTGAAACAGAAAATAATTGAAAAAATCACAGGTGATTACTGCAGCCTGTCTGTGGTTTTGGCTGGTTTTGGACTTATGAAAATCAGCTGTAGGATTCAAGCTAAATTTTACAGTAACTTATGGCTTAAAGGGAAGTACTTAAAGCCATATTATCTAAAAGGAAGGTTAATTACTCCCAATCTCATTACTTGAACAAAGGGGCCCACCGGTACATTCAGAACTATGTGCCATTGCTTGGTTTCAATGACTCATTAGAGGTCAAGATATTTTTCCTAGCACTTATAGTAAAAGTTAGAATGAAAATCTTGCTTATTTTTGCACACTATGAAAGTCTTTGTTTCTAAGCTGCTGGAGAAGTGCAAAAAGCAGTGGAGGAAATATTGTAAGTTAATGTTTTGACACTGAAAGAGGTTATCAGGATAACATTGTCACATCCCAAAAAGAAATACAAAAGTATTTACATTTGGTGAATGAGGTGGGGCTTTTTGTTTGTTTGGGGATTTTTGTTGGTGATTTTTTTTATACTTAACTTTTTAACTTCTTGTGGTAATTCTGTCCATCAAGGATTAGCCATTTGCTTAAATGAGAGCTATGACCAACTTGGAGTTTGCTGCTGTAATAATTGACTTGTTTAACTGAACTTCAACATATTTTCAATTTCCTATGGCTTAATTGTCTTTTTCTTCAGGACACTGAGGTTGAATTTTCAATATTTATTAAACTACAGGATCAGTCTTTACCAGGGTTGTTGTATAAAACTTCTCCATTTAAGATCTAAAGCAGGTGTACCTGGAGTAGCAGAGTGAAGCATCCAGAGCAGTACGTGACATTTCTAGTATCATTAAAAAAAATATATTCTTCAGAAGTCACCAGATCTGCACACAATTCAAGTATAGTGGACTTCAGAAATAGCTGTAGGATTGAATGCAAATTCTTTCTTAAGAAATCCTGTATGAACATATGGGAGTCACCAATATTCTTGTTTTGTGTTTTAGCTGAAGTGAGTCAGAGCAAATCAAACAAAGCAAAGAACAGCTGGGTGAGCAATGTTAATAAAGAAGTCTTTGTGCCACCAGAACTGCATGGCATTGAGGAACATCAAGAAGAACAACTACTAAAATCTAGTTCAAGGTAAGCTGGCTGTTTAGTCACACTTAGTATGTATATGCCAGGACTGATGAAACTTGTGAGCTCTAAGTTCTCTCCAAAGTATTGAACTTGTCTCTTATTCAAAAGTCTTCAAACATTTCCTCTGAATTGCCTAAGGAATTTGTGCATGTGAAAGGTTGACAAATCATAGCCATGCACTGTTAATTCAGATGCAGAACAATCTTTGGCTTACCTCTAAGGAAAAAGTTTTCAGTGGTATAATAGTATAATCCCACATGTGTTCTCATGTCACAGCTTAGTCTGGCTCCCAGAAATGAGACCAGGATTTTCTGATTAGAATGGCCTTTCAGAGGTTTCCATTCAGCGTACAATGAGACAGTCAGTTTGGGTATGCCTGAATGGCTGTAGTTGTTGCAGGAAAGCTGGATGATAAATAGTTTCTGAACTGCAGAGGATTTGGAATTACATCACTCTATTTCAAATCTGTAAACATCCCAAACAGCTCCATGTTGCTTTGAAGTATCCTGAGTTACTTCTGTGAGAGAGACTTGTCTCTCTAAAATACCTACACATGCAGTAATTCAATGGCTGTGTGAAAAGCTTTTAAAAATACTGCATTTGAAAAGTGCTGATCTCTTACCCAGGGTGACAGCAGGTGAAAGTGAAATCACAATGTTTGGGGTTGGAGGAGACCTCTGAAGCTTATCCAGTCCAACCCCCTGCCAGAGCAGGATCACCCAGACCAGGTCCCACAGGAACACATCCAGGCAGGTTTTGAATGTCTCCAGAGAAGGAGACTCCACAACCTCTCTGGGCAGCCTGGGCCAGGGCTCTGATACCCTCACAGTAAATAAGTTTTTCCTTTATGTTTAAGCTGAACCTCCTGTGTTGCAGTTTGTGACCATTGCCCCTTGTCCTGTCCTGGGAACAAGCAAGAAGAGTTTGGTCCCATCCTTCTGACACCTGCCCTGTAGATATTTATAAGCATTGAGATCCTCCCCTCAGTTTCCTCCAGGTTAAACAGACCCAGCGCCCTTAGCCTCTCCTCATGTGGTAGATCACCTCCCTTGACCTACTGGCCTGAAATGTCTTTAAATGGCCAGATTCCTCAACATCCTTGAGGAAACAAGAACCAGGGTGTAACACGGATCACTATTGTTTGTGTTTTCAGTGAACAGAGTGAGGTAAGATGTAAAGTTGCTTCCTAGGATAACTGTTTTACTTTTGGCTGTGCCATTGATCAGCTCTGTAACCTTTCACTTTCTTGTCTGTCCAAGTCTTTCTCTGTGTGTCACCTGTTTTATCTTTGCAGCAAGGCTTGTCTCCTGCTATGCATTGGTACAGTCTCTAGTACCAGTTGAATCTTTCACTGTCATGGTCTGCACACTGGGTACGTGTGCCTACGATGAATGGCACCAAAGGTTGGTGTAAGTCTTAACAACTCTGGCTTGCATTACTGGTCTTTCTTATCCTTTATGTATCATTGTCTGTGAACTCAAGGGAGTATTTGTCTTATCTGTATCTTAAATCGCTCTGAAAAAGGTCCCAAAAAATGAAGTTGTCCAGGACAATAAAGATTGCTTATCACAAGAAAGAGCTTAGCTCCACTGCACCCAAGTTGGCTAATAATGCTGACAGAGTTATTTGATACTGAATGTAGACTTTTTACAAGTGGCTCTTATCTTCAGGAGATTGCTGTGGAGTTATTTCTTTATGGGCAGCACGAGACATGCTGCTGTTTAAGATATCTTTTAGAATATTTTGCCTGTTAACCTCACACACTAGGAAAAGATGATGATAGTTTAAAGTACAGCCTCAATATTATTCTTACTGTTACAATTCCACAATTTGTATGTGATGGAGTAATACATTTCAAAAACTGCCAGGGCAGCCTCTTTTGTAATGAGGTTTAAGACCATGGCCAGGCCCATGTCCTTAAGAACAGGGCAGCCTTGTAACATAATGAGGTTTAAGAACATGTAGACAATGTCTTTGAAATATGACCAACTTGATTGTGGTCTTTAACTTGAGGTGCTTTGACTTATTTCAGGTAGCACCCATGTGAAATGTGATAATTATTGTTCAGGACCCTTTTCTGCCCTTTGCTCCAGAATGTGCCAGAAATTAATCAGCCTGTATGCCTTGTTCACATGTGCTTATACTCTCACCAGTAGTTCGAGATCTTCCTGCTAAAGCAAGCTCACACAATCCAGGGTTTATGAGATTTATGGAAAGGACCTATAATATGTGGGCTGAACACGTACCTGTGTTTACTTTACATAAATACTTGATTAGCTGTCTCAGATTATTGGCTTTTAAAATGTCAAAAACTGAAGCAAGCAAATGTGGCAGGACTGTGTGCAATTCATTGCTTAGGATTTCAGTATGGGCTTATTTTGCTATTACTGAGAGCAGTCTACGCAACATTGCATGTGGGAAATTGCAGGAGGTGCCATATGTTTTTAAAATACTCCTTTTTGTTCTCTTGATACTGGACTTTGACATGGCTGTGGGCCTGTCTCTAATGGCAGCAGCTGATCGGGAATTGAGGGGAGACACCATGTTGGGAAAGCAGTAACCCCATCAGTTGGGGTGGGAAGGGAAAGCCTGGACACTACAAACATTTAATTTGGCTGTTAGGATAGCAGAGCTGCAAGGAATCCATTGACTCTTCCTCTTACAATGCAATAATCTCAACATGATGAAAATGAAACAGAGCATCATTCTGGAGCTTGGGATTGCATAAATGGAGTTCACATCTTCTGGTGTCTAAATGCTACATGTGGTCCAAGTATTTGAACTTTTAAAACACTTTAAAGTGCTACTGTAAGGGTAGGTTTGTGGGAGTTGTGGGTTTTAGGGTTTTTTTTTCTCCCCCTCCTTCCTCTAAGAAGGGGCTTCAGGCCAGCATTGGCTTGCAGGCTTTGCATGGACTGAACAGCTGCTAAGATGAGGATTGGGACCAGAAGATACATGATAACAAATTACCCAGAGTGGTTTTTTTTTTTGTCCTGGATCCTATTCTTAAGCCATAACAATTCGTACTGAATATGAAGTAAGTTCAGTTCTGGTAAATCTGTTTGTAAACTGCTGAGGGTCAAATCCAGCCCTGGGGCCAGTTCAACTGCTGTTGTGTCAGGGGGCTGCTATATTAGAGCAGAAATCAGCCCACAACTATATTCTTAAAAGTAGCATAGTGATCTTCATTCCCACACCCCAGATATCTAATTTGAGTAATGAAACGATGAATGATTTTTTCCTTGGGTGTTACATCACTGTGGTACTTCTGCATACCAGAGCCTTTACAAGCCAGGTGTGTGAGGTGTCTTTGAAGGTGTAACCCTGCACAGAATGAGTTTTTATGGAGTGACTCAGACTGTCAATATTAACTCTGTTCAGTGACACCATCTGTCTATATGCTGAATCCCAAAAAATGGCAATGTTAGAGAGGTTTTGTCTTTCAAATTACGTTTGTAGGTTGTTTTCTTCTCTAGGCTAGAAAATATTCTTAGTCTACATTGAACAGGTGACAAGTGTGTGTCCTAGAGCTCTGTAAGGTAAAAATTCACAGAAACCCCCTAATTCTTAAAATTCTAAAAATCCTTAAAGTCATGAAGAATTCTTAAAAGTCTTGATGTAACTTTTCTGGAATAATAAGGGTGCTGGGATACCTAGATAATGACATTTTTATGGAGTACCATTAAATCCCACTAGCTTTAATCACACTAGAGCCTTAAGCCTTCAGGATGAGCCCAGGAAAGCTAATTTCTTTGAATGGGAGCCTGTTTCTAAGTAGACCTCATTAACATCTGTGAATCTATAAACCTTTGCTCCAGCTTTGCTCCTGCCTTTGCCTTGGTGCCTCTTGGTTCCTGTCCAGTCTGAGTGGAGTTTGAGCCTTCACTGTGGTTCTCAGCACTTTGTTTTGCTGAATTGCAGCACAGAAGTTTCTTAATCTGGGTGTATGTATCAGTTTGGCTTCATATCCTCTCTTGTGAATGCAGTGTATCTGGGAACTGTTTGTTCAGTTTTCCCATCTGAATGAGTTGGGGGTAAACTTGTATTTTCAGACCCTTTGTTGTAAAACAACACTTAGGGGTGTATGGGATTTTTTTCCCTCTCTTGTTTTATTTAGAGCAATCTTATCAGTATATAATGCAAAATTAGCTTTAATTATTCTATGGTAAGTCTGAAGTGCTATTGCATTAAATGTCGTGGGATTGTGTGTGTGTTCAGTGAGACTTAGAAAAGTTACCTCCCTGCCTGTAAAACTGCAGACTGAAGAATGTCTTATCGGTTTCTTGCAGCCCAAGGTATTTTCCTTGTTTAAGTGAGGGAAGGGTTGAAGCATTCATGACCTAAACCTTTAAAAAGAATTTTAAAAGTCATATTTTGTTGAGTAGTCAGGTGGTATCAATGAGACACACAAGCAAAACCACAAACTCAAGTGCTTATAAAAGCAAGAACACAAACTCCCTTGCCAAAGATTGTTCACCAAAGAAAGATTCAGTATTGGAATCTCCTTGTACATCTATATTAGAAAAACCATAGGAGCAGCTTTCTTTCCTAGCCTGAGGTCATATTTCCTACCTGAGAATATTAATTTTTCCTATCTTGTGCTGTTTACCCTGTCCCCCAGATCATGAACACGTGTGTTGGTTAATGCCAGCATTTTCTATATAAAGTTAAGACTGTGAATGTGGTTGCTACATGAAAGTCATATTTAAAATCTGTATCTGACTTCCATCTTCAAAAAAACAAATACTTTTTCATATCTAACATATTTAGATAAACTCAAATTACAAAAATCTGATTGTTTTGGAGGAAACCTTTGCATCATTCTGCAAATAGATGATTTTTTTTAAATATATAATATAGGAGCTGTCTCTTCCAGCTGTTTGAATTTCTCCTTACTTGAGCTATACTTAGTCAGGATCGCAAGCAATATCTTTGCTTCTGCTATCAAACTACGGCTTTTATAGATCTTAATTGACAGAATAGCTTATAAGCTGTACCTCTGAGGGGGATGTATTGTTTTTGGCGAATAATGGCTGTGCTGTAGTAGTAATGGGGTTCCTCTGATTTTTCTGACTTGAACACTTTGCAAAACTCTGTTTTTATCAGATTTTGGCACTTTCTTCCCCTTTGGTTTCAGTCCTAGAAGTGTAAATGTAGGACAAGGATAGAGATGGCAGCACAGATATTGCTTGGAAAGTGGCTATGTTTACATAAAGCTTGCTCAAAAATCTAAAAGATATCAAAAACGTGGGGTTTGCCCTGCAAAGTAGAAGTTGTATTTAGAACAGGCTAAATAGAAAATGTAGATGCCAAGAGGTTATTTTTAAGTGTGCATAAACAAATCTTTGTTTTGCTTTTTCAAAAGGGCTTAAAGTAATGTCCTGTTTGCTGAAGTTGTTCTGTGCCTTTTCTTTGCAGTTCTAAAAGAATAACTTCTGTGTTGGATGTACCAGAGGAAAGACCTGTGAGGGCAGAAGTCTCGCCAGTAAAGGTATTAATTGTATTGAATATAACAGAAGTTATCTTTTAAATGTTGCATTTCTTTGCTTCAGTGATAAAGATATAATTAAGGAGAAAAAGTTGGAAAAAAAATGTGTATTTTCTGTTTTGGAAGGAGATAACAAAAACCACCGAAAGTTGAGCACTAAGGTGCTATTAGGGCTATAATCAGTGACTGGCTGAGCTTGACATCGTTTCCAGTCTCTTCAGCCACTGAAAAGAGATACTTTGCTGTGTTTCAACATCACAGAAGTAGAGATAGAAGTATTTAACTTGCAGCAACCTGGGATTTTCAAGTGTCTCTAAGTGGTGGCTTATCTCTGCTGTCGGTGACTTTAGAAAGAACAGGATGAGGATATCACTAGCACTTCTGATAGTTCCCTGGTTCATGTTATGTAGGTTTTTTTGTCATGTATCCAATTTAAGATGCACACGTTCAGATTTTTTTTGCTGACAGTGTAGTGAGGCAGAGGAAATCACTGCACTTTCATTTATTTTGTCAAGACTGTATTGATACAACAATTGGACTGCTGTTATAATGCTCATTCCTTTTTTAGCAAAGGAGAAATCCATTTAATGCCACTGCATCCGGTGATAACTTGAACAGCGGAGAATCAGAAAGCAGACCAGCTGTTCTACCTCAGCTACCAAATAAGGGTAAATATACTTACTTAACATGTGACTATGAATTTCTTGGTGGTTTTTATGGAAGTTAATTTTACTTTCATTGCTTCTTTTTCTAAGATATAAAAAATTTTTACCTTAACTACTTGGAGTTACCAGCTAGTTTGTTTCAAACCCTATGAAAAATATGTGAATATACTTGGGAAATAGCTGTTTATGTGACTAAATGGGTTTTGCTTCCTTTCTTTTACTCAGTTCTTGTCAGCATTAGGCTCCCCATCTGAGAAGGCAGTTTGTCCTGAATCGCTGTTAACGGAGAAATTTCCTTCAATTTGACGTAGCTGTCTCTGATCTTCCAGTCACTGCTGCTATTGGCTCAACAGAAGAAGCTTAACTCTCTTTGATCTTTAATTTTTTCTCCTTTGTTTTCTCAGTCCTGTTTATTTTCAAATCCATCCTTTCCTGCAGTATTCTCTGCAGGCAAGTAGATGGGTGATGATATCTCTATACAGGCATTTGAAGTTGTAATTTACAGGCTCATATGTGGAAATTACTCTGTTATGAAGCTTCCTAACTGGAAAAAGGGAGACTTCCATTCACAAAAATATAATTTCCTACTGGGACATAATTTCTGCATGTTACCTTGTTCTATATGGATGTGGAAATAGCCTGTTTCCATTTCTGTAGGTTGCTGTTTATGCTCTGAATCTGAAGAGATGTTTGGGTATTCAAAAGCTGTCCTTCCCTGCAAAGTTTGTTCGTGGTGGGAATAATGCTGATTATAAATTTGGTTTGCTCTGTATCCTTAGTCATTAAATAGTTAATATTTATAAATAAGAAATAACTGCAGGATTTTCATCTGTTAAAAGTTCCTGTTACATACAAATGAAATCAACACCTATGTTGAATTTCCTCCTGTGTTTTACTGCAGGTGTTTTTAATAAACCAATATAATAATTTTGTTCTAGATTTGCACTGTCACACCCCTCTGTTTATGCAGGTGAATGTCACGTAAACTCATTATTTCCTTTCTATATATGTCCTACAGAAATTTTGTCACCCTCAGAAGAGAACCAACTTAAACCAAACTTAGTAAACAATGGAACAGAGAAATATAAGAAGCCTCCTGTAGAACCTCCTGATGAATCACAGAAAGGACTAGTTAAGCATCCTGTTCCAAAAGCTAGAAAATTAATTCACAAAGCAACAGATCCTGTGTCACAAAGAGAAGATGTTGCTCCAAAACCAGCGAAATGGACCAAGAAGGCTAATGGCATTAGTACAGCACCCAGGGGCATTCTGAAGCGCAGTTCAAGTTCAAGTTCCACTGACTCCGAAGTTCGTGTCAGTCAGATGTTAGATGTTCAGAAAAAGAATGGTCTTCCTACTGCAACGATTTTTGAAGGAGAAGTTGAGAAGAACTCTCTTAGAGAAGATGCAGAAAACTCTGCACAAATTTCACTGGAAAAACTTAAACAAGTGAGGTTCTCATCTAGCACAGGTAAAGGAGAACCTCTGCAAAGACCACAGCTCCACCACGGTAAAGAAAAAGGAGAGTTTGATTTGTTAGAATCTGATGAAACAAAGAGTAGTGGAAATGATGCTCTTAAATCAGATTCATTGGGGAATAAGCAAATTTCTGCTACAAAGTCTTTGGGAACCTATTCATCAGCTTTACAAGTAAAAACATCACATGGTTTACAGGATAATGCATTGACTTGCAGTCCTTCTGACACTAATAGGTCAGTCGATGAAACCTTGCAGACAAAGACAGTTACTCCTAAGAAAATTGAAACTCCACAGAAGACCTCCAGCAATATCCTGCCAAATAACAGTAATGGACTGAGTGTTGATGAGATGCACAAAAATAAAGCCAACCAGTTCTTGAGCCATGAATCAAAGTCACACAAGAACCTTCCTGGTAAGAGTCTAACAGGAGTGAAGAGCAGAATGCAATAGCATATAGTATGTATTCATTACTGTTCAAATCACTTGATCTAGGAATTAACAGCTAGGAAACAAATTGTAGGAGTGTGCTACATGCTGCAGAATTAAATTCTAAATCACTTGCTTGTTTTTTAATGCTCTAATGTAGTCAGTATGTTTTAGGTGATCTTCTATTGGTATTCTTAAGAGTTAACAATCAGATCAGAGCCTGGATAGGCACTTTTATTGTGGATGATGAAGGTGAAGTGATTGCATTTGGATAAAATTCCTGTCATAAGGCCTGATAGATCTTCCTGCATGGAAACTGAAGAATTTTTGGTGTACTGCTTTTGACTGTCCCTGGTAGTGATCCAGTTGTGACTTGGGGATTTGCTCATGGCACTAAACACAAATATGCTGGGTTGTCATCCCCCCTGCCCATTCACTCCCTTCAATGTAGCCATTTCCTTTAGAATGAGGATAACTAACCTTATCTGCTCACACCTTCAAAAGTAATATGATTAATATTCCAGTAAGATATCTCAGTGCAGCAACTAATTTTTCATGGTATGGTTCTTTCCATAAACAAAGACAGAAAGCTCTTTTTGTCTGCTAGCAGTTTAAAAAAAAAAAACACAAAAAAACCTGCCACAAACAAACAAAAAATAAACCCAACAACCACCAAAAACGGAGAGATTTTTCAAGATAGATCAAGCATTTGTAGAGTTGTGTGTCTGATTCCTAACCCTTATAAGTGTGTTTACATTGTAGATGAACATCAGCCTTCTCCTAAGACAGAAGCACATGAGGTGTCAGATACCAATTCTACAAGTCTTCAACAAGGTAAGCCTGATCTTGTTGAGGAGCAAGATGCTAAAACCACTTTCAAGCCAGACAAACATGCTGATGAACTCATGAAAGTGGATGATGAATTTGTATCAAAGGTTTTAGACTGGTTTAAAAGAAGTTCTGGTACTGAAGATAGGAAACATGTATCAGCTAGATCCCAAGGCAGAGAACCCAAAGAGGAAGTGGACTTATCAACCAGAACAGGAGTTCTTCCTACAGAACATGGTGGGCCTAGCATGGGTGGAAAAACAGAAGTTACAGAAGAACTACCATTTAGAAAGGCTAAACAACAGGACAGTATTTCACCTCCATCATTTATTTCAGAAGATACACAGCTGATAAAAGAGAGGGTAACACCTAAGAAAGAAGAAGAGAATGAGGAGCAAAATGACAAGTCACTAACTGAATTTGCCTGTACAAGAGTTGAAGAAAAAGAATGTGGTCAAGATATCAAGCAACAAAATAAAAACTCAAATGTCTTGGAACCTCACGAGCACAAGCTACCAGCTCAGAAATGTGAATCAGAGAAGGCAATACAAGAAAAAAGAAGATTAAGGGAGATCAGAGCATTCTGGGAAAGGGATAAAACTGTCCCCAGTTACAGAGAGAAACAAGTTAGAAGCAATACTACTGCGTCAGGTGGTGGTGCACTGCAAGGTCTCAGAGAAAGTGACAAAATAAAACCGACTCCAGTATACCCACCTAATGGATTGGATGATCAAAACAAGAATACATTAAGAAGTGCTGAACTAAGTTGTGCAAGCCAGGCTTCTAGAAAGGAACATCAAAACTCTCATGAGTTTGGACCAGGCCATGCAGCTGAAAAGCCAGAAAGAATACTTCCATCTGACAGTGAAGTTCAGGAATATACAGAAATGCCAAAAGCCAGTAACTTGCAGCCAAGAGTTGGTGCCACTTCAGCTTCCTCAGAAAGCAAAGACAAAGATGAGAAAGAAGCACATCAAGGAAAAGCTGCTGCTGCTTCCCAGCAGAAGCCCAGCTTCCAGATTTTGTCTTTAAAAGAAAAAACAAATGAAAAGTCCAAGAGTCAAATTTCACAGTTCCAGAGTTTGAGAAACTTCTGGGATACCGGAGTTATATTACAGAGTAGCACTGATAGGAAAGATGTTTCTTTGCCAAATAATACAAGTTCAATAACCTATGAAATAAAATCCAAGGAAGATGAAAAAGGCAGAGATGATGAGAGCAAGCAAGAGTTAATTCAACAACAAACCCAAACATCTGAGAGAGAAAAAAGACAGAACCTAGATTCTGTGGTACATGAACTGCCTCTGGGATCTTCTACCCTGAAAGGTCTGAGTGTGACACACAGGAAAAATACAGACTCTGTCCAGCTGGGCAGAAAACCAGTTATCTCAAAATCTGAGGAAAAGATACATCTTCCAGAGCAAGAAGTTAAAGCATGTGTAGAAGAAAGTTTTGTTTCATCAAAAGAACATCGTGTTTCCTTGCAGTGGCTCCAATCACCTGGTGATAAAGATGCTTTAAAGGGAACAGCAGTAGATGACTGCCTGTCTTTACCTGTAGAAAAACTGGAGAACAAGGCTACTCCATTAGAGGTCCTTCCTAAAGAGGAAGTTGCAGAGACTGTGGATAAGGTGGTTCTACCTAAAGCTGACCTTAATGTATTTAAATTGGGCCTAAAGAAATTAGAAAAGGAAGCCTCTGAGATGTCATCTAGCTTGAATCTAAATGAAAACATTTTGAAAGGGACAACTTTTCATTCAAATCAGTGCAAAGTCTCTGAAAGAACAGTAGAACAGAGCCATGACATTTCTCATGATGATGAAAAAGAAGTAAGCAGAAGCACAGAAAAAGTGAATGTGTCATCAACAGATGAGCATGAAAACACAAAAAGTCTCAGGGAACTGTTTAGGGAATTTACACCTTTCTCTCTACGACATCAGGCAGCAGACAAGGATGATACTCATGGGGGTTCTTGGAGGCCTCAAGCTGGTTTGCAGGACGCGATCACAGAAACCTTTCCATCTCAACCCTTTGAAAATAGAAGGATGGGAATGAAAATGTCTGACACAAATGGCATATCACAAACTAATTATAGTGTAGAATCAACATGCCAAGAAGATGCTGGACAGCCTAAAGAGGTCAATGAGACCATTGAAAAGTCAGTTGCCCCATCCAAGGTCAGTGACTTGAGTTCTGATCTACAGAAGCTGATGGTGGCTTCTGAAACACCACCTCCTAAACCAAAATGTGCCATTAGCACAGTACAAAGAACTGCTGAGATGGAAGTTAAAAGCACAACCCGTGAGCGTGATGAAGACTTGACGCAGGAAATCAGTGAGACCATAGAAAAGTCTGTTGCCCCATCCAAGGCCAGTGGCTTGAGTTCTGCTTTAGAGAAGCTGCTGAAGGAGGCCTCTGAAATGTCACCTCCTAAACCAAAACATGCCATTAGCATCGTACAGAGAAGTGCTGAGGTGGAAATTAAAAGCGCAACCTATGAGAATGGTGGAGAGTTGCCACAGGGAATCAGCGAGACCATAGAAAAGTCGATTGCCCCGTCCAAGGTCGGTGGCTTCAATTCTGCTTTATGGAAGCTGATGGAGGCCTCTGAAACACCACCTCCTAAACCAAAACGTGCCATTAGCACAATACAGAGAAGTGCTGAGATGGAAGTTAAAAGCATGAATGAAGACTTGCCGCAGGAAGTCAGTGAGTCCATAGAAAAATCAGTTGTCCCATCTAAGGTCAGTGGCTTCAGTTCTGCTTTAGAAAAGCTGCTGAAGGAGGTTGCTGAAACACCACCTCCTAAACCAAAATGTGCTGACAGCACGGTACAGAGAACTACTGAGATGGAAGTTAAAAGCACAATCTATGAGAATGATGGAGAGTTGCCACAGGAAATCAGTGAGACCGTAGAAAAGTCGATTGCCCCATCCAAGGTCAGTGACATCAATTCTGCTTTAGAGAAGCTGCTGAAGGAGGTCACTGAAACACCACCTCCTAAACCAAAACGTGCTGACAGCACAGTACAGAGAGCTACTGAGACAGAAGTTAAAAGCACAACCTATGAGAATGGTGGAGAGTTGGTGCAGGAAATCAGTGAGACCACAGAAAGATCTGTGCCATCCATGACTGAATATGGAGTGTTTCATGTCAATTTGCAGAAGGAACAAGAGAGAGATCATCCTCAAGAAATAAAAGAAACAATAGAAAAAACTTCAGTTTCAAATATTGCAAAATTCAGTGAATTTAGTAGCTCTTTAGAAAAACTTCTTCAAGAAGCATCTGAAATTTCATCTCCAATATCCAAAGAGTTGCATAAACAAGAAGAGTTTGGGGATCACATGTCATCACAAAAACAGACTCTATTCATGCCTGTGTCACAGCCATATGGTGCTTTCAGTAACTATCATACACAGATGAAGATAGCTATCAAAGGGAGAGCTCCAGAACAAAATAACAAGAGTGCAGTAAAGGATCTTGCAGTGAGTGAAATGGAAGCTTCTGGTCTTCCTCAAAGAAGTGAAGCTATTAATAAAATAGAAAAGAGAAACATTGATCTTCCCCCCTTGGAAGGAGAGGCCAATATGATTGCAGTGAAGCCATTCAAGACAAATGAGAAAGGAAGGATTGAGGAAAGCACATCCTTGGGTGCCTCTGAAAATAATTCAGAATTTAAGGCACCGTTGAAATTCAGAAGAGCAAGCACACGCCTTAAAGATGAGAGCAACTCCCACCAGCCAGAACTGTGGCCAACATCTCAGCATGAGGATAATGATGAAGAGGAAGAGGGTGGCTCAAATTTGGGATCCAAGTTTTCAGATGAAAACTCTGATTACTACTCTGGAACCAGCAGTTCAATTCGTGAGCCGTTTGATTTCTCAAATTCAGGGTGCTGGGTTGTTGAATATGGCTACAGTTTCTATTGGTAGCCAACTTATGTTATCTAAAAGTATATGCAATACTTACTTATTAATTGAAAGCTTTGGATATTTGTTTGGGAAGGATGGGAAGAACTAATTGAGTCCTTTAATTGGAAAGTGTTTGACAATCACGTACTGTATTTGGGTAAGCCTTTTGGGTAAGGAGAGTTTAGCAGCATGAATCAATCACATCAGTCTTCATGATTTACCCTTTTCTTCCTCCTGTGTGGTATCACCTTCAAATTAATAACATTGTAACACTCGAAGACTGGTATTTCTTTTAAATATCATGGATTAAAAGAAGAAAAGAAAACTATTAATGGCTGAGTTCATTCTCTAGTTTGACCAGTTAGTCTTCAAAGGTAAATACTTACCTGTGGAATGGCTGGATATAAAGACCATACCAATACTCTGTGCTATTTAACTTAGTGCTGTTACCTGTTGCACTAGAAAATGGTCATATAAATGTGGTCTGTGTACCAGAATTCTCATTTTGTTGAATGGCAGCTTTAGTTGATGTATAGTGTATGATAATCATCAAAGAGCTTATGGTAGACGAGATAATTTCACCTTTCTAATTTGCTCCTGAGAGACTGGGAATGTTTTCTTCACCTGAAGTTTCTGAGGAAATATGTGAAGTTTCCAGCACCTGCTAACTTACTCTTTTGAAAGTGATATTCCAGTGGAAATCAGTGAAAACCCAAGACAAATGAGGAAAAATGAAACTTATGATTGCAGTGTTGCTGTCTAAGGCCTGGTTGATTGGCTCATGGGGAGACAAGGGAGGTAGGGAGGGATCTGTCAGAGAGCTAAGTCTGTCTTGATTCTGCTCTTAAAGACAACTGCATCATTTCAGGGATCGGAATGTCTCTGCAGTTGTTGGTTTTGGTTGTTACTCAAGTATTGAAAAAGTGACTTTCACTGGGGAGAAAATATAATGGACAAATGTACACAGAAGGAAAAACTAAAGCTATTGGCTTTTTAATGCTGATTTGTAACAAGATGGTTACAAAATGGCTGAAGTCTGAATTTATCCTGTTTTTCTTAGATAATTAAGACAATATTTGACCTAAGCCACCTTATTAATCAGTACAGACAGAGATACCTACACAGGTGAATTGTACCAACCTGTCTGTCTCTACTGATGACACTTAAAATTAGACATTTATTCTGTTTATTTTGGATTTATGTTGTATTTTCATTGAACGTTCACTGTCATACCTAAAAGTAAAAACAGATTCTTGTGACAAATCAGTGGTTGTTGTTTTAGTAACTTGTTTAAAATGGCATGTCTGTGTGTGCAGTGTTCATGTGTTTTGTCTCGTAACAGGTTCAGAAGAAGAATTAAACCCTGTTTTGATGGCTTTGAAAAGGAGTGCAGATAGGAAAATGCCTTCCAAAAGTCTAGAGGACATTCCATCAGCCACCTCAAGTGAGCACAAAGCTTGTGTGTGTCTCCCGTGACCCCCAGTTTGGCTTAAATGTGTTCACGCCATTCTTCCATACAGCTTTGCCAAGTAGTGTTTTTGTCCTTGCTTCTCAATAGCAGTATGGAGTTTGTACTGTAAAACTGAATTCTTTTCTCATAAGGTTTAGTTTTCAGTTCTTTGTGTTAATTTTGAAGTAACGCTGGTCTATGAAGCAGACATCTTCCAAAAGTGCACTGCATTTATCAGTGATGAAATGTTTCTTGGGTAGTTAGGAAGTTTTCTGTAATGGAAGTATTGGAGACTGCCCGAATCAGTAATGAGCAATGACTGCCGGTCTCTCCTGGCTGCTTGGTTCGTCAAATTAGTAGACAGTGGAAGTATGAAAAAATTGTTTTTAGTAGTGTTTCACCTGTGTGCTCTAGCAGTTAACATACCAGACTCACTTTAAGAGGATACAGTGAGACAAGACTACACTGAAAATTAATTCTTGACTTCTTTCTGTAGCCTCCTAAGATTATTCTTTTAAATTAATATTCCTGTCACCCTGCCCCTCAGTGTTTTCATGCTTGTCTCATGTCTAATGGGGACGATGTGGACAGAACTTGTTTGTAAGCTAAGTGTGGAGGTGTAGATTTTGAAAGATGTTGGCTACCATGAGCAAACTTCTCTTCTAATACCACTTATGCCATTGCTTCTAACGAGTTTCTAGGTTTTATGTATGCACTAACATTGTTTTAACAGCACACTGATAGAAACTGTCAGCATGACACCGCTGCTTGGATGTAGGCTTGAAGTAGTGTGTGGAGTAGAAAGCATCTCTTGAATTTAACCATTCCTGTGGCTCTGCTGGTTTGTTTGGGGTTTTTGTCCTCATTACTCTTAATTCTGTGATTACCACTGCCATCTGTTTTATCATCCCGAGCAGCAACTCTTCTAACTGTGTTACTTTATTCCTGCACAGATAAAGGAAAAAGAAATAAACCAAAGGAAGAATTAGCTCTTAGTGCTGAAGATGGTAAATATCTTTTGTGTCTGCATGGAAGCTTCCTGTTTTTTCAATAGTCTCTGTTTGCTAGTGAAGGAGTTCTGAAACCACAAATTGTGGTTAGATTTATTAATTTCAGCATGACTTAAATGCTTTTGCAGAGTTTTGGTGTGTTGTTTTATTCTTAAGGAATATACTTATGTCCTGCTATATATGTAGGAACTGTGTGCTGCCTACCAGTGTATTTATTATTTTGGCCTTTGGTCGTTCAGCCTATGAAAGAGTTACTGAAATCAGAGTTTTGAATGTTAGCTCGGTTGAAAGAGCTGAACCAAGTACATATTGCATTTTTTTGTTCATCTGTTGCATTATAAGATGCAAGATGACTTTTGCTCATGCAAAACACCCTTCAGAATACATCGGTTGAAAAGGAACCTCACTTATAATCCCCGTCTCAATCCAGCAAAGCATATTTACTCTAGGCAATAAATGAACTGATAGATCAGCTGCTGTTGATATCATCGGTCCATTAGTGCATTGCAAATGCCTTGCTGTTAAATTTTTCTGTATGCCTTTAGAAATTCCACATCTAAGCAAAATAAGTGCAAATTTGCTTCAAAAACATGTCAAGATGAACACAATAGAAAGCCATCAAATAGCATCGAGTATGTGGAATATAACACAAATTTTTATTGGGACACTACAGTTTTAAAAAATAGTTGTGCTCCATTGCATTTATTGTCATATTTTAGATGCTTTAAAGCATTTTGCATGTTAGTGACCTATGGTATAAGTAGGATGATCATAGAAAATAGGATGCATGCAATGTCCAGTAAATTATCAGGACTGAAGTACCATACTGCACTTTGCTTTCAAATGGAGACCCCTACCGAAAGCATAGCATATATATATTCAATATGGAACATGTTGACACTTATCTGAAAAGGGTGGTGGGGTTTTTTGAGTTAAATTTATTAAGAATGAAATTTCTAAAAAATGGCAGAGCCAAATTGGTAGCTTTACAGACAGAATAAGGCAAGTTCTCTTGAAAATACTATTCAGCTTTTAAGATCCAGCCCCTCCGAGGAGGACAGTGATGCAAAACACAGAAACATACGGAGGTCTGGGAAAGGAAGAAACTTCCCACGTATAAGATACATTGATGCTATTTGTAACATTGCAAAACTGTTTGTGCTGCTGAATGACTGTTGTCAATACTGAGCAGGTCTGGAACCTGATCAGCATCAAGAGAGGAAAGGAAATGCAGCAGGAAGTGAGTAATAGGATCCTTCCAGCAGACAACGGAGAGACTTCTCCACTGATATTTAAACTAATACATTAAAAATCCTTTTTTTAATTTAACAACTAACAAGTTATGCATCTAGACTAGATAGTGGCTTAATGGGGAAACTGCATCTAACTGCATACTGACATAACTGACATGTTGAGCACTTTTTTGAGCTTCAACAGCAAAAGCTTTGCAAAAGCTGAATTCATGCCTCACAAACAACCCCGTCGATTCTGTAGTGTTTCATTTTATGCAATAGATATGTGCTTCTCTGGCTGTTGGCTGCCAAATAGTTCTCTGTCCTATGATATTCAGTATTGGTGCATTTCACAATGTAAATCCAGTGCAAAGATCCAGAGCTTCAGTGCATTATTAAATGTAAGAGAGGTTAGAGCATAGAAAATGAGAATTATGGGCATACCACAGACTGGATTTTTGCAAGTCTGGCTTGTGCAATTAAGCTTTGTACAGTGGAAAAACATGGAGCTGAAGTTCAGTAGAGGTATACAAAAGCTGGAGAGGTGGGCTGCCAAAAACTGCATCATTAACGAGATATGCATCTTATAAATAACTAGAAATATTTGAACCTTGTTTGTTCAAGTCTAGCAATTGCTTGATTTGCACAAATGTTCCTATTGCCATTATTGCCATTAATTTGAGTAAATAAAAGAACAGAGTTTGGTTTGTACACTAACTTCTTGCCAAGAGCCCTATGATGACTCTATTGTCAATGATGGTGTCATTAGTGCATGAGTGCACTTATCCTGTTCTAGGAAGAAAATCTAGAAAGTAAACTGAAAATGTTTTTGTCATCACATTAGATCAGAATTTGCTTGCAACACCTCAACTTGTATATCACGTCAAGCAGTGTAAACACTTCTGCTCCAGCAAGACAAAGTTCTTTGGTCAGTGTTATAGGAGGTGTCGAAGTAGATTATCCTTCCTAATTATAGTTTATCTGAGTCCCAGTCTTGCATCCAGGTTGTAAAATGATTGTGCACGTGCATGTCTTTGATCTGAAGCTGTTTCTAACCATGTCCTCTTACGGAATATCACTGTTTTGATGCACAAAATTATTTATGAAACCTTTTGAATTGCGGCTCTTCAGTTTCCACAGTGCCTTTGCAGCCTGATAAGCTGTTTTCCAATCCTGAAAAACTCAAAGGACTGAGCAAGTCAGTACCGTCATTCCTACAGGAAGAGGCAAGTTCCATCTCTGAAGTATCATAACTTAAACTTTTGATTACTTTTGCATTTTGAAGTTGTCAAGCAGTGTTTTCCAGGGTCTGCCAAGTCAGTTTACTGTTGGACCATGGCATGGAGCTGAGCCTTGTGGTCAGCAGCTGATCCCAACCAACCTGTGGCACATCAACCTTTCTATCAGAAAAATTCCCTTTCAACTATTTTTTAAGTGCATGACCTAATTTAAGAAATATTAATTACTCATGTTAGCACAACAAGGGGATTTAAATCCAGGTTTTCACTGATTCTCTGTCGTGGTTTAGAGCTGGGCTGGCAACTAAATCCTGGGCAGATGCTCTCTATTAACTCCTTTCCCATCCCCAGAAGGGAAAAGAGAATAAGGGAGAGAGACTTTACGGGCTGGAAAATAAAACTAATGGATTTAATAAAACAATAATACTAATACTACAGGATAACATTGTAAATAGGAAAATTATGAAATATATACAGATACGTACAAATATATCTACAAATCCAATATAAAATCCTCCCCCAGTGACAATTACATCACCAGAGGCTCTGCAGAGCAGGTCACTGGAAAAGTCCCAGACCGGATCCAGTAACAGTGGGAGCTGATGCAGGAACACAGGGATCAGGATCAGAGGCAGACGAACCAGCAGGGTCTGCTCAGACCTCGGCTGCTGCAGGATCGAGATGAATGGAAGAGTTTGAGATGGAAGGGCTCCAAGATGGGAGAAGGGTCGAGACCCTCGTGATCCCTCAGCTTTATACCGAGTATGACGTGTGTGGGATGGAATACCTCGTTGGTCACTTTTGGGTCTGTTTTTTTCCCCCTGTAGGCACAGACACGACACCCAGGGTGAGACAACTGACCTTGAACGTTACCAGTTCACACTGTCTGGGAAAAACATGCTGCTAGTTTTCAGCAAGTTTAGCCACTTAAAAGAGTCTGAGATGAAAAGTAAAATCACTGAATAGAAAATTGGTTCTATTTAGCTCAAACCAGGGCATTCCCAATCTGCATTGAAATTGTTTGGGTTTTTTTTAATGTTCTTTGTGACTATAAAGAACCTACACAGACTTTCTTTCTGTAATGTTTTTGTAGAGTGATGACAGAGAGACAGATACAGCATCAGAAAGCAGTTACTCCTTTTGCAGAATCAAGAAGAGTCCCAGCTCTCTAACCAATCTTAGCAGCTCTTCTGGCATGGCCTCCTTGTCCTCTGTATGTAAACCAAAGTCTTGTTTTAATGGCACTTTGCTTTTGCTGATCTCTTCAGTATTGTTTCAGCACCCTTCGTATTCCTCTTATCTATGTTCCCTTGGCATCTCTGTCTCCTCCCTCCCCTTTCTGTTATGTGAACCCTTGCATGGAGTTGCCTAAAAAAATTTAAAAATTTGCTTTATTCTCATAATATATTGGAGCCTGCTCAGAACTCTACTGTGCAGCATATTCTGTAAACACTGAACAAAGAGATGGCTTTTACCCCAGGAGCTTACATTTGTAGCTGAAAGTGGAGGACAACTTATATAGAAGAAACAGAAGAGGAGAACAAAAAGAAAAGAAAAAGGTCAAGTAGGAGAGAAAAAAGTTGAAGAAACAGTAGTGCTATGTGGGCTGTGTAATTAAGACAGTGAACTAGGTAACTAGAAGTCATTAATTTATGTGGACTTTATTGGGAAAAGGAGAATATTGAGTAAGGATATTGAGATTAAAAAAAAGTACATCCTTCTCTTTCAACCTGTGTAGGGTTTAATTTTCAAGTGTGTTTTGTTTTTAATTAAACCACAGATTTCTATCACTAATCTTTTTAACAGTATTTCCAGAAATCCTGTTGTCCTAAACTGTCAGGCTCTGCTTTCTGCATGGAAGATAAGCTGAAGAGATATATAAAATATTTTTCAAGGATCTGATCACAGGCAATCTCCAGATCCACAGCTTCCTGTCATTTTATTTCTTCTATCGCAATGCAATAAACACATTCAAAAATTTTTTGTAGAACATTTGGCCTAACATTTTTGATTTTTAAATAACTTTTTTGTTAATCTGCTTGCTGAGAAGCTTTTATCATAGTGTTTGCTACATTAGAAGTAATAAAGAAAAGGGACACAGTTGATTTCTTTACTGTCTATATTCTGATTGTGACTTCTACTCTAATCTTAAATCTACTCTAATTTTGAAATATCTGCTGAAATGAAATGCCTGGGTAATTTTTCTCCTCTTGTATGATACAGGTGAGCGGAAGTCTGATGAGCATCTATAGTGCGGACTTTGGAAACGTGGATGTGAAGGGGAACATTCAGTTTGCTATTGATTACGTAGAACAACTGCACGAGCTCCACATTTTTATCTGCCAGTGTAAAGACTTGGCAGTGGCAGATGTTAAGCGTCAGCGTTCAGACCCGTAAGTGTGCAGAGTAATTTTTTCCTAATGGAAGTTTTTCTTTTAAGTGTAAGTGAAAACTGTTTGTTTGCTTGTTTCCAAACACTATAGTTTGTTGGAGTAACCAACCAAATTATTAAAGAAGCTATCGTGTGCTTTACATGGTCTTCTCCTCTGAACTGAATATAGAATTGCCACTATAAATGGTACATAATATATTAACATGCAAAGATCAAACTTTAAAGAATATGAAATTATTTTAAAATTCAACTTTCCAGATGGTAAATCCTGCTTTGATAGGTTTTCAATAGGATTAAAGCCACTAAATGTGATATCTAGGCACACTATAGTTAAATATTCTGTATTTGCATGTGTTGAGGAGATATTTCAACAGATTTTTCCCCTGGAAGAAGGAAGTTAATGTCCCACTTTGGAAACTATTATTATACTTCACTGCTGAACAACAGAATGGCTATTTAAGAGGATTTCTTTATAAGAAAATACTAATGTATTTTGGAAGGGG